CGGGGCGCATCGAGTCACTGGACAGGTGCCAGTGCCCGTCCACCTCCAGTGCACCACCTGCATTCCCAGCACCCCCACGCCCAGCCCAGCCCAGCCACGCACCCGAGATGTAGCCCATGACAAAGTCCTGGTTGGCCTCCGCCGCCGCCACCACCTCCTCGGTGTACTCGCCTCGCGCCAGCGTGCCCTTGGAGCTCATCTCGGCCAGCAGCAGCAGGCCGCGGCCCTTGGGCAGCCCCACCTGCAACCCCATGAACGCACAAGCAGCGTGGGATGAGGAACGCGGCCTGGGCAGCGGCAGCAGCAGCAGGAAGGCGGCGCACAGCCCTTTCTCCGGGCCGCTCCACCGCCTGCCCCGAGCCCACCTGCTTGAGGCCGTCGATGATGCCTGAGCCGGGCACCAGGTGTGCGTTGGTGATGTCGGACCAGTCAGCAATCTTGTAGATACCGCCGCCGTACTGCATCACCACCGTGTTGCCAATGTCGGCAAACTTGCGGTCCTCAAAGATCATAAAGTCTGCAGGTGTGAAGAGAAAGGAGACGGTGGGTGGGCAGCGCGGTGTCGGGTGGCAAGGCACAGGCGGGCTGATGCAAGAAGGGCAGAATACACTGCTCTCCGAATAAACTGCTCTCCACCCAGGCCTCCCCACAGCCTGCGCAGCATCCCACCCCAGCCCACCCGCGCCACACACCGTGCTTGCCGGCCAGCTGCCGCAGCTGCGCAGCGTACTCGTCGCTCCACTTGTCAAACACATCAACGTGGGTCTTGAACACGCAGATGTGCGGCCCGACCTGCGAGATGGCAATGGGGTTGAGGCGTAGCAGAATGGCGGCAAACGATGGCAGGGATGCAGGGGCAAGCATGGTGCTTGGGAGGAGCTGTCATCGCAAGGAAGGGTGTATCAGCAGAGCGTGTTGCTAGTCAGATCCGAAAGATGGTTAACTTTGCATTCAATCATCCAGCGACTCCCGGATGCAGGGTGGGCAACATGCAGGCAATCAAGCAGGCAATTGGTAAAAGGGCCAGGGCTGTCATCGCAAGGAAGGGTGTATCAGCAGAGCGTTTGCTAGTCAGATCCGAAAGATGGTTAACTTTGCATTCAATCATCCAGCGCATTGGCCACACACAAGACGACTGGCAGGAGTGCCATGGGGTGCAGGGTATGCAAACGTGGTGCAGAGATGTGGGCACGCAAGGACAACATAACCAGCCGCCCACCTTGTCGGCAAGCTCCAGCATCTCCTCCACAGTCGCCACATCAGCCGCCACTGCATCCACAGTGTAGCGGAGGGGTGAGCCAGGTGTGGCCAGGTGAGCCAGCAGGACAAACCATATCATCAAGCAGCTGCCGCGCTGTTGCCTGCCTGCGGCGCCACCCAGGCCACCCACCCGACAGGTTGCTCTTCTTGCGAGCCATCAGCTCAAACAGCTTGCTGCCCAGCGGGTTCTTTGCCAAGGCGGCACGCTCCTCGTACCGCAGCCTGCAGCAAGCAGCAGCAGAGGAAGAAGCAAAGCGGGAAAGTCAGCTGGTCAGCCCTGGCAACCACCACATGCTGGGCTCTCTTGGATGGGAGCCAAAATGTCATGCATGCAAGCCCCAAGCGGGTGGGGAAGTGTCCCTGGCTGAGCGTGGGCACCGCCAACATGTGACAGAAGCGCCCCATCAATTTGCAGTCCAGCCCAGGGGGCTCGATGTGGCAGAGGTCTCTTCAGCAAAGGCCACCGCGCCCCGAGGAGCGCCGCCCCCACTGCTTTCCCAATGCCATCCAATGTGCACGCTGCCAGCCACGCGACCATGCAGCCCTTGCTGCACCGCGGCAGCGATGGCTCACCGCTTGGGCTTTGGCGGCGGCGCTGCTGCTGCAGGGATGACGCCCGGCTTGTCGGTCTGGTTGTCGGCAATGAACTGCCGCACCTTGGCCGCCACGTCTGGCGTCACCAGGCTGTGCTGCACCAGCGTGTCGAGGATGTAGCTGCAGGCAGAAGCAGGGGGAGGAGAGAACAGGTCACGGCAGTCAGTGGGCTCATGTGAAGCAGCAGCAGCAGCAGTGCCACGCAGTCACATGCAACTAGCCACCCGCGACTGCTGGAAGCCCGCTGAGGGCCCTGGCGTGAAGTCACAACAACAGCAGGCAGGCGCGCGCCTGAGGGTGAAGGCGGCATGCAGCTGCAGCCCTTGCGACGTTAGCCGCGCCCGCCCGCCCTGCTCCCGGTCAATCAGCACCACCACATCCGACACCACCAGGCCCTCCTTCTGCAGCCGACGGCGCAGCGGGTGAAGGGCCACAGCAGGGCAGGGTCAGCAGGACACAGCGGGGCAGGGCAGGCTGCAGACTCTCCCAGCACAGGCCCCGGGGAAGGCCTCTCCAACGCCTTGCCGCTCCCGCCCAGTGCTGCCGCTCCCCAGCGTATGCGTGCTGCCCCGCTCCTGGCTGGCCCCAGCCCTCCTCCCTGCCCTGCCCAGCCCAGCCCTGAGCAGCCGCACCTCCAGCGGCTCCACCGTCTCCTGCACGCTCATGCCGCTGGTCACCAGGTCCTCCACAATCAGGCACCGCTGGCCGCGGGTGAAGGCGCCCTCAATCGCCTTCTTGGTGCCGTAGTCCTTGACCTCCTTCCTGCGGCAGCAGGCAGCCGGGCCAGGTCAGCCAGCGCGCGGGGCCGGCATCTGGGGCATCTAGGGCATGGGGCGTGCTTTACCGCAGTGCAAGCAAGCAATGCGGTAACGGTGACAGGCTGGCTGGGAGGCCGGGCGGAGGGCAGGGCAGGAGCCGGCTGCCGGCGAGCGGCAGGGGCGCGCACCTGCGCATGAGCATGGGGGTGCCGTGCAGCGCCGACATGCAGGTGGCGATGGGCAGGGCGGTGTAGGGCACGCCGCACATCACGTCAAACTCAGTCTCCCGCACCCGGTCCCACATGGCCTCTGCAGGTGGGAGAGCAGGGGGCACCCGGGGTCCAGAGGGAGGGAGTCGGGCATGGCTGCGACAGTCTGATGCAGGTGCCAGCTGTGTGGTGATGTGGCGAGTGCATGAGCGCGGCAGCCCCAGGAAACCAGCGGGCAGGCGTGCGGCAGCAGGCGCAGCGCCACGCACCCGCGACGCGGTGCAGGATTTGCGGGTAGGAGACGATGATGCGAAGGTCCACATACACGGGAGACATGAGCCCGCTCTTCAGCTTGAACTCCCCAAACTTGACAGCCTGCGGCAGCGGGCGGGGCAGCTAGGTCGGGAAGGGCCCGGCTGCTGCCGCTGGCACCCGCTTGTGTCAAGTAACACCGGCCTTGCTGCTCACCTGAATCTCGTGCAGCTTGAGGACGAGCGCCTCATAGTCGGCCTCCGACACGGACCCGGTCTGCGGGCGCGGCAGGAGTGGGTTGCAGCAAACTTGCCGACGCTCCCCACTCACTGCCGCCAACTGTCGCCTGCACCGCCGGCTGCCATCGCCCGCTGCCAGCGTCTGAAACACTGCATCCGATCGCCCAGCGCCGTTGCTGGTGCGGGCACGGCAGCATGTGCAGGAGAAACAAACCCCACTCACTGTGGGCGGCACTGTCGACATCCTGGAGGCGGCAGTCCCCACTTGCAGCCTGGACAGACTGGGCGATGCGGTCCTCGATTTGACGCGTGCTGCCGGGCTGGGGTGGCGCAGGGGCGGCTTGATCGGAGGTGGTGGGCTGGTGGGGACTACTTTGTGAGATTTTGGCGCGGTACACTTCATTCACTCATGCAGTCTCAAGCTGGATGTCACTGGCAGTGTTTGGATGCCGGGGGCGCCGCCTAGGGCACATATGCGGTGGAAAACTCGGGTAGAATGGCGCCAACTTCGCAGCCCCTCCAATCCCATTATGCTTTTTCGACATCATATCGACACTTGGAATTGTGAAACCCCGGCACGATGAAGGTGGTGTCGCTAGTGAGGTGAGGCCTTTCCAAATAGGCTTGGGGGCTGCGCAGCGAGACCCAGCAGCCGCTGGGCATCTTGCGCAGGGCCATTTGCTCGCCTGCGCAACCACCACTGGACTTGGGCCTCGCCGCCGTTCCTCCCGCCGCCGCTTCCATCACCGCCTGTGGTGGCCTCTCAGCTGACCAACTGCCTGCTGTTTGGATGAGTGTGCTGCAGTGGCGGCAAGGATTCCTGCTACAACATGGTCCTGTGCCAGAAGTACGGCCACGAGGTGGGGCTCTGGCGCAGTGGACAAGAGTGTGCCGTGGCTGCCCGACTATCAGGAACCTTTCTGCTCGATTGCACGAACTCTGCGCAATGCCGCCCGGCATGCAGATTGTGGCGCTGGCCAACCTGTTGCCATCCCAGGCGTCCGACGACGACCTGGACAGCTACATGTACCAGACGGTGGGCCACCAGCTGGTGGCCGCCTATGCTCAGTGCATGCACCTGCCGCTGTACCGCCGCGCCATCACCGGGCAGTCGACAGAACAGGTGAGGTGGCTGGCTGGCTGTGGAGGGCACGATGCAGAGGACAGCCAGGTATAGCTTCCTCTGGCCACACTTGTCCTAGGGAAGGAACCGTTTCCATTCGAGAAGAACTGCCTGCCTGCTCGGCCACCCTCTGCAGCGGCTGGTGTACGAGGATACGGCGGGGGATGAGGTGGAGGACCTGTACTGCCTGCTGGCCTTTGTCAAGCAGGCGCACCCAGACGTTACCGCGGTGGCCTCGGGGGCCATCGCCTCGGGTGAGCTGGGGTGGCGTGAGGGTAGGAGTAGGGGCAGGGCAGGCTGGCAGACATGGCAGTCTGGGGCACGTGAGTTGGTGAGAGCAGCGGGGAGGGAGGGCGAGGGAGCGGGGGAGTGCCTTACGCCTGCCCCCGCCCTGCCTCCCGCCCCCCACCTCCCTGCCTCCAGACTACCAGCGCACGCGTGTGGAGCGCGTGTGTGCCCGCCTGGGCCTCGTCTCCCTGGCCTACCTGTGGCACCAGCCTCAGGCGGTGCTGCTGCGGCGCATGATCGATGCCCAAGTCGACGCCATACTAGTGAAGATAGCGGCAGCGGGGCTTACCCCTGCCAAGCACCTGGGAGCCCGCCTGGCCTCGCTGCCGGCACAGGTGAGCCCACGGTGCCGCGCCCAGCCTGCACGCTGTCGCTGCTACTGATGCTGTGGTGCGGCAGGCGGCCGCCACATTGCGATGTCCCTTCCCCCCGGCCGGGTGCCCTCAAGCCGGCATCTCTGCCGTGCCTGCCTGTTGTGGTGCAGCTTCACGCGCTGCGCCGCCTGTACGGCAGCAACGTGTGCGGCGAGGGCGGGGAGTATGAGAGCCTGACGCTGGACTGCCCTGCCCTCTTCACCCACGGACGCATCGTGCTGGACAGCTGGCGGGCGGTGGTGGTCTCCCAGGACAGCCTGGCGCCCGTGGCGCTGCTGCACCCCACATCATTCCATGTGGAGCCGCGGCAGCCGCCAAGCAGCAGCGGAGCAGCAGGCAGGGCAGCGGCAGGAGTGGTGGAGGTGGCAGCCGGCTGGGCACCGGACACCGCGCCACGGTCGGCAGCGGCCGCGGCCGAGGCGGATGGCGCAGCAGGGGTGGAGGCAGGCGCCGCACTGGAGGTCCAGCTCAGCGTGACAGCGGGCGCCCAGTACTGCTCGGTGACCGCCAGCGTGGCGCCTCCAGCTGGCGCCACCGCCGCCGCCACCGCTGTTGGCCTCGCCAGCGCGGCAGGCACCGCGGCGGCGCTGTCTGCGGCCCTGCGCTGCCTGTCCGACGCCCTGCCGGGTATGGACCTGGACTGGGCCGCCAGCCTGTTTATCCACCTCTACGTGCCATCCATGGCACAGTTCGGAGCAGCCAATGCAGCCTATGCCGCCGTCCTGCCCGAGATCAACCCGCCCTCACGTGCCACGGTGGAGCTCGCCCGCGGTTGCCAGCTGGCGCTGGTGGTGGAGGCGCTGTTTGCCAGGTGGGTAGTGCGGTAGCCCAGAATGCTGGGTAGTGTGTTTTGGTCTGCACATTGTTCTGGCGCTTAAGCGGGAGTGCTGTGGCCCTGGCGCGCGCACCCTGTTGAGCTGTTGCATCTGTTGCTGTGTGCAGGCAGGCGCAGGGGCGGCACGTGCTGCACGTGCAGAGCGTCAGCGAGTGGGCGCCCTCCTGCATCGGCCCCTACAGCCAGGCCACCCGTCACCACGGCCTTGCGCACTTTGCGGGGCAGGTCAGGGGGCGGCTGCCCTGGTGGCGGCCGTCCAGGGACAGACAGCTGCGTGCCAATGCCTGTTGTTCCATGCGCGTCAACTGTCCAATTTGAGTGCGCACCCCCTGCTTTCCCGTGGCTGCAGATTGCTCTGGACCCACCTACTATGGACGTTGTGCGTGGCGGCATCGAGGCGCAGTGTGTACGCTGCCTGCTCAGGTGCGTGCCTTCTGTTCGCTTGGCATTGTACAGTTCTACCAGCCAGGCACAGTTATATAAGCCAGGCAGACGCGATTGACAGAGAGCTCCTGGCTTCATGCAACTGCTGCCCTTCCTGTTCCTGTTGCTGTTGCAGCTGCCAGCGGGTGGCGGTGGCGGTGCGCACCGACTTGCCCCAGAGCTTGCTGTGGTGCACGGTCTACTGTTCAGAGGCGGCTGGGGCGCAGGGGCGGCAGCGGGCAGCGGCACACCTCGCGGCATTCCTTCAGGGGCAGCTCGATACTTCTGCGCTACAGCAGCCGCAGCAGGACCGGGAGGCAGAGGCGGGTGCAAGCGAAATAGAAGATGGCGAGGAGGAGGAGGAGGGAGAGGAGGAGCATCTCGATGACTATCTGCGGCCGCCTGCCATGCACCGCCACTGGCAGCCGCTGCTCACCTTTGTGACGGTACCGGAGCTGCCGCGCGGGTGAGGATTTTCCGCTTCTGGTCGGCGCCTGGTCCCAGCAGTGAATGCAGGGTCAGGCAGTCCCGCTGTGCAGGTCGGCAGATTGTGCACAGACAACGTGCGCCTCATCTGCACCTGCCTTCCTGCGGCCTGCCTGCCTGCCTGCCCTCGCCTGGGTTGCAGGGTGCTGGTGGAGATCCAGCCTGTGGCATGCATTGTGGATGAGAGCCTGGCCGTGGACAGCAGCAGCAGCGACGACGAGGATGCAGAGGTGGCAGAGCATCGGCGGGACAGGAGAGCGGCAGCTGCTGCAGCTCGGCCCAGTGGCAGCACCATGCCTGGCTGGATCGGCAGGGTGCAGCAGTGCACCGGCCGAAGCAGCAGCCGGCTCTGGTCGCCAGGCAGGCTGTGCAGAGTGCAGGCATGGGTGGCACAGCAGCAGGACTGTGCAACAACACGGCCCGATTGGCAGCAGGCAGTGCAGGCCGCAGCAGAAGAGCTGGCAGCTGGGCTGGCTGCGGCTGGGCTTGCAGCCGCTGATGTGGCGTCCTGCAAGGTGTACTGCATTGCCGGCCTGCTGGAATCCCAGCAGCAGCCAGGGCTGACGGTTGCCGCGCTGCGCGAGGCAGTGGCGGCAGTCCTGCCCGGCGTGCAGCCAGCGGTGGTGCCTGCGTCGGCGGTTGGCGCCAGCCCGGCCGCAGACTGTGACATTATGCTGGAGGCACTTGCCACGAGCGGCTAATGCGGCGAATGCAATTGGTGCCTGTTACATATTGCATGAATTCCATCAACTGAAAACACTTATGAAGTAATGTACACCGGCGGGATCCAATCACGAGCGCAGAGCACAGCACAGTGTGGCGCAGGTGCTAGGCAGTCACCTACCGCGCCGTGCCAAACCCTTCAGAGCGGGATGTTGCCGTGCTTGCGCTCTGGGCGCCACACCTTCTTGTCCGCCAGAGTCTCCAGCTCCGCACACAGCCGCTGCCGCGTCTGCAGGGTGAGCGGGGGCGTGAGGCACAGGCATGGCTCGGCCGGCAGCAGTCTCCACAGCGGAACTTCCACCAGGCGTGCCACCCAGGGTGGAAGCAAGCTAACAAGTACACTCCGGTCTGCATTCCTCCGCTCACCAGGCGGGGCAATAGTATGTCATCGATATACCCCACCTTGGCCGCCTGCGCCAACAGGCGCCAGCCACGCCTCAAGCCTCAATGCACAATGTACAGCCTCCCGGAGCCAATCCACCCCATCCACGCATTCATGCCATGCATCCAAACGCAGGTACGAGCCAGCAGCATCAGCCCTGACCCAAGCCTGCCCCCCACCTGGAACGGGTTGTTGAACTTTTCCTCGTACTCCGCCTCCTGCTGCTTCATGTCCTCACCCTTGCCCCTGCAGCCAGGCAGCAGGGTGGGGCAAAGGTGGCGAGATCAGCGTGGAGCGGCCCGTGGGTCGGGCGGCAGTCAGTGGCTGGGACAGTCATGCTCTTGGCAGTGATGAAGCGATCCCGTGAAGCAGCGACCCCCATGCAGCCGTCCTTCCTGGAGTCCACCTGAACAGGATCTCCACAGCGCCCTTGCTGCCCATCACCGCAATCTGGCCTGTGGGCCAGGACAGGTTGATGTCGTTGCGCAGGTGCTGCAAGCGAGAGAGCACACAGGGGAGCAGGCAAAGGGTTGGCCAGGCAGGCAGGCAGGCACGCAGGCGGGCAGGCACGCAGCACACATCTCAGCTGAGCGCCATCCTGTATGCCCCGTACCATGTGCCCCTCCCCACACGCATCTGTCGCTACATGTTGCCCTCACCTTGCTGGACATGACATCATATGCGCCACCGTACGCCTTGCGGGTGATCACGGTCAGCTTGGGAACACTGGCCTCGGCATACGCATACAGCAGCTTGGCGCCGTGCCTGCGGTGCAGGCGCGGTCGTGGGCGCGGGTGTTCACAGCTGGGCGCGCTTGCAGCCTTGGAGCGGTAACAACCGCTAGTGACCACCCACCAACAGCGATGCATCATCCCTGCTGCACGGTGGCACCGCAGCATCCCTCCCACGCCCACCAACACACCCTCGCCACCCACAGCCGCACCGTATGATGCCCCCATACTCTTGTGCAGTGCCTGGCAGGAAGCCCGGCACGTCCACAAAGGTGAGCCTGCAGGCCACCACCGGCTCACGGTCAAGGCTGGTCAGGACGTGCGGCCGATGTGTGTGTTTGCGTGCGTGTTCAGCCAGGCAAGCCGCAGGGGCATACAGGCCTCTCACAGCGGGATGTTGAAGGCATCGCAGAAGCGCACAAAGCGGGCGGCCTTGACTGATGCGTCAATGTCCAGGCAGCCAGCCAGCACCGCGGGCTGGTTGGCAACCACGCCCACGGTGCGGCCGTCCATCCGCGCAAAGCCTGCAGGGCGCAGCGGGCCGGGCGCATGGAACCGATGCGCAGGAGCAAAGTACCGAAAGCTGGCTTGCTCCGGCCACTGCCTCACTGGCTGTGGGCCCACATAGCAGCCGCTCCCTGCTCAGCGGGTGCCAGCGCACAGCGGCCCAAACAACTTGGGATCTCTCCTCACCCACAATCATGTTCTTGGCATAATCCTGCATGATCTCAAACACCTGCCCATCATCCACCACCTGCAGGGCTCCAAACTGGCGGCGGTCAAGACGCAACAGAAGGCAGCCGGCGGCAGGAGGGGTGGGGCAATGGCACAGCGGGGCAGCGCCGCATGCTGCACCGGCCCAACGACATCGCCCCTACCAGATCACCTGCTGCACCACGCTCAGCATGTCATATGCCTGCAGGTTATGTGTGAGGGTGCGTGTGATTTGGCGGTCGGGACACTTGGTTGGAGCACAGGGCGTGGGGCAGCATGCAAGGCAGGCGGCATGGCGCGAAAGCAGGGCATGCAGGTGAGGAAAGCGAGGTAGCGGCACAGCAAGGCCGCGGCAGCTCTGTTGGCAGGCAGGGGCGTGGGCGTGGGCTGGCTGGGGTGCCTGACGGGCAGGTGCTTGCCTCCAGCTCGCTGCTTGGCACGACATAGTCCAGGAAGGGGCAGAGGCGGTCCGCTGGGTCTGAGGCCGGGATGCGCGGTAGGCTGGCGCGGTTGGAGAGCGGCAGGAAGCTGAGCAGCTCCCTCAGCCCTGCCAGCGCATCCAGCTCATTGTCGTACGCGCCGTGCGCCACCCCTGGGCACGGCAGAGCATGGGGGGCCAGGCGAGGGCAGGCGCGGCTGGGTGGTGCAGGGCAGAGGGCTGGCGCAAGCCAGGGGCAACACGCAGTGGGCGAGGGGAACACGACCACTGCGTGGTGGGATGGCCCAAGCGACCGAGCCCATGGCACTGGGCACTGCAGCAAGCAGGCCTTCGTACACAGCACCACCTCGTTCACTAGAACACAGCCACCACCCACCAGACTTGCTGGTGTGCGTGGCGGCTCCCCCCAGCTGCTCCTGCGTCACCTCCTCCATCGTCACACTCTTCACCACCTCGGGACCCGTCAGAAACATGTAGCTGCTGTGCCGCACCTGCCAGCAGAGCAGGGCAGGGCATCCGAGTTCATGACAAGACTCCGCCCCGGCCACAAGCAGTCACGCAGGCTGCCCAAGCCCGGCAGGGCGGCACTCGCCATGAACGTGAAATCTGTGAGGGCGGGAGAGTAGACGGCGCCGCCGGCACAAGGCCCCATCACCATTGACAGCTGCGGCACCACGCCTGCGTGCATGGCAGGGAAGGAGGCAGCGCTGGCGGGCTTCAAAGCTAATCCCCCATCAGCTGGGGCCTCGGGGACGCAGGCCGGCAGACTGGTAGGCTGCCAAGCGACAATGAGCAGGGTGGGGCGGAGCGGGAGAGGCCCACCAGAGGCATCCACATTGCGCTGGAAGACCTCGGCGTAGCCAGCCAGCGACATGACTCCCTCTTGAATGCGTGCTCCACCGCTGTCGTTCAGGCCCACAATGGGAGCCCCTGCCTGCAGCGCCGGCAGCATGAAGTCGCATGCAGGCAAGAGACCCCCGCCATGCACCTCCCGCAGAAACATGCATCCTCCAAAGAGATGCCCATCCCCTGCTGCTGCTGGTCACCCACCGCCACGGCACGGTCCATGAGGCGGCAAATCTTGGCGGCATGCGACTCTGATAGCGACCCGCCAAACACTGCAGGCGGGGACCGCCACAGCGCGCGCGGCAGTTGGGGCAAATGGTACCGGCGGAAGGCAACTTCCGGGTGGCATGCCATGCCACATGGAGCAGGCAGGCAATCACCCAACCGGCAGCTGAAGGCCTGCCCATGCAGGGAGGTCGCTTGCCTGTGAAGTCTTGGCTGAAGGCAAACACGGGGCGGCCGTACACGGTGCCGCTGCCGGTGATCACGCCGTCGCCTGCACAGCCCGTAATGCCAGGGCACAGGGACATAGCGCTCAGCACACGGCTGGGAGTGAGCTGGCAGAGGTACTGCTGGTTGCAGCGAGGTGGTACAGCCATCAACCGCTTCGACTGCCCCTGCACAAAGCCCCGCCCTGCCCACCGTAGAACTGCTGCTGCTCCATGCCAAAGTCGTGGCAGCGGTGCTGCACCAGGGCGCCCGCCTCGCGGAAGCTGCCAGGGTCGAACAGCACCTGCAGCCGCTCCCGGGCGGTCAGCTTGCCCTGCAGACGACACAAATGAGGCAGCATGATGTGTAGGGTGGGAACAATGAGAGTACAGCTGTGCTGGACCACTCGGCCAGTTCACCCAAAAGAGACCACTGCAGGGCATCAAAGCGGCCGGCCCCAGCTCCCACCTTCTCATGCTGCTTGTCGATGCGGTGCTGGCCGCCACCCAGCAGCGCCTCTTCCTTGGCCGCCACGACGCGCTCCCACTTGGGCTGCACGCAGCAGCCGTAGCACGAGCAAGCACGCACACACATGTCTTTCACGGGATGGGGAGAGCTCACATCACCACAGACGTGTGCCAACACCGTGAATGGCGGCGCAGGCACGCACGTTGCTGGCATAAGGCGGCAGGTCGTCGAGTGGCTGAGCGAGCCCAGTGCTGCTCATACATCTCTGCGCAGGCAGGAACAAAGGTTTAGGCAGAATAGAGAGCATGGAAAGCCCCGAACAGTGCTGGGCAACCGGCAACCGGGGCGGCCTCGCCGACCCACCGCTGCCAAGCACGTGGCTGCTGCCCAGGCTGCTGGCAGTTGCGCTCCCAGGCTCAGGCCCACTGGGGCTACTAGCCGCAGCATCAAGGCCTTGCTGCAGCTGGCCTCAGAGCACCCCGACTTGTATCGTTTCGAGCGATGGGCTGCGTGTGGGCTCCGACACGGACGGATCGAATGCGGGATGCTTTCAGAACAGGGCGGCAATAGCAACGGGGCTTGAGTGCTGCGATGAGGGCCAGTCTGAGCTGGCGACCACAGAAGAAGGAGGGGAGGCCACAAGGATCCACTGGACGCGCTTGATCACTCGCTGAACGATCAACACGCTGCAGGGACAGGTAACCTCCTGGGGCCCTCTGCTTTTGCTGCCCATCTCCGATTGCAGCAGACTTGCCCTGCGGCGACCACAAACTGAGGTGCCCTGCACAGTGCAAACAGGCAGGCGGAGCTGAGCAGCCCCAGCGACTGGAACAAGAGAGGCGGACACGCTAGTGGCGGCGTGTCCGGCGGCGGTGGAGCGCAGGCGCATGGCATGCCCGTGCTGGGCCTCATGACCAACGCCTGCCAACGGTCAGCTTGTATGGTGCAATCGTGCCTGGTGGAGGCCAACTACGACGAGGCACGTTGGAGTGATTTCAGGGGTCCTTTGAGGGCAGTTGGGCACCACTGCACACCCCGCCGGTGAGCGGGCAGGTGTCGGCCGCGATGCATCAGTCTCACCCCCTCTTTCCTCTGTGTCTTCATTGCAGCGGGAGTGCGCCTGGGCAATCCAGCAGCTAAAGCGGTGCTGCGAGAAGACCGGCAAGGGCAGCCTGCACTGCAGCTTTGGCGGCGGCGGCGGTGACGAGGCGAGCGCAGCTGCGCCGGCTGCTGCTTTGAGCACAGAACAGGACCAGTCAGCTGCCAAGGGACAGAAGGAGGAGCAGCCAGCTGGTCAGTTTAGCGTTGATGTACAACATCAGGCAGCTGAGAACGAACCGGCAGGGGGCGATGAGCGGCAGCAGCCCGGGCAGCCACACGAGCTTGCGGCACGCGCGCCAGGCTCTGTGTCGGTGCCATCATTTAGCAAGCAGGACTAGAACATACACTGCTTCTGCGTCTTCAGCCTCTCTTTGATTCCTCAAGACTGTTTCATGTATCACGATTCCCGCCGTTGTAGTTTGCTGTCATTCCTCATGCATGCCTGCTGCCCTATGCCGGTTGCTCTCTTCCCATTCGTTTGCTCTATTCTTTCCCCTCATGTGTCATCACATCCTCTTGTGTCACATCCCGCTAGGGTGGACACTTCATAGAGTTGTCAGTGCAGAGGAGTACGCCGGCAATTGCGCCAACTGGCGACATGGCGCGGCACGCCAGGCGCCGCCCTGCCAGGCAGTCACATATGTGCAGTATCATTTGCATCCACGTTTCGGATGCAGTTGTAGACCGCGTTTGTTAGCAGTAACCGTGCCAACGGTGGGATGGGAAGGCTGCGCCGGCAGTGAGAGCGCAACAAAGCGGGAGCCGTGAGGCTCCTTTCACGCTTCAGGCATGAATGCCTCTAATCAGTGACAGGCAAGGATGCTGCTTATGTTTTGCGGTCAAGGGCTGGGTGTCGAAGTGCCACCTCCGAGGCCCTAGTGCAACTTTAAACTTGGCCCTGTGTAAACTTGGCCCTGCAGGAGGGCGGTGCCATGAGCGGCGAGTCATCTGCGGGGGCAGATGGGCAGGCGGGCCAGCGCAAGGCACCGCCGCCGGGCACGGAAAGCCGCCCCTCAACGCGGCGGGCCTGTCTTCGCCTCGAGTTTATCAGTGAAAGGCAAACGCGTTGTATCCTATTCATCCAGG